CTCCCTTTTATGGAATAGGAATAAGTTATAAGGAATAAGGGATAAGATAACTATGGATATATTAGTGTGGCTCCACAGGACAACATTCCCATCATGAATGGTTGGTGCCAGGGCATATTGGACAACGGCCGCCCCTACTATTACAACAAGGATGCCCGAACCTGCTGCTTCAAGCGTCCAGTTCAGTTTTTGGATCCTTGCCCTATTTGGCCCTATTTAGTATTGTTCGGTGCATTCAAAACAATTCTAGAACTAACTTAATCCATGAATCCACAATACCGAGGCAGACCTGGATCCTGTGACGGTCCTTGGGGAAGCGGCGATGGAAGGGACTGGCTGGGAATTGTGGAGCGAGTACCTGTCTAATCCCCCGAAGCTTTTCTGGTACCACGAAGTTTCTGGGAGGACGTGCGAACTCCACATGTTCGACGTTTGGCATTGCATCAAGCACTTTCTCCTCCGGGTTCGGTTTATTGCATTGAGGGTTTAGGACCTTTTCGGAGGCATCTCAATAAATTCCAAGGATGGAGAGCTGGCGGCCGAAGTCGAGCGACAAAGGGCTGTGAGAGGGCTTACGCCGAAGGCCAAGGCCAAGTTGAAGAGGGACCAGGCAAAGGCCAAGGCAAAGGCCGCCAAGGCCAAAGCCAAAGAAACGGCCTCTGGTTCCCGGAAGAGGAGGCTCGAGTGAGTCCCAGAGGGATTTGGAGCACAAAACTTGAAAAGCATAGTAACTATAGTTTCGGATCCTGGGGCTCGCCGGGGAATCCTCTTCATGCGGCTGCGAATTTCACTCGCCGCGTCGCCGCAGTCCTGAAAACAGTCCGAGTCTGTGGGCCGAGTTTGCAGCTGCGTATCATGACACTCATTGTTGATCATGTTTGCGATCGTGCCTTCCCTCCAGGACTCTCTCCATGTGCTCCATTGGCTTCCTGCAGCAACCTCAGATTCGGCCTTCGTCGGAATGCATTTTTGCATTGGGTTTTGCGAGGTTCCAACGGACGGGTCATTGGTTGGGTTGCAAGTTGCATTGCTGCGAACTAGGCTAAACCCTATTAAACCCGGAACCTTAACTAAACCCTACGCCTTGGTCTTCAAGCGACGTCATGTGCGAAGTCTTAGACAGACAAATGCGAAAGCCTGCGCTCGCCAACCCGAAGCCTTAACCTCAAGCCTCTACACCATCCCTCAGCCCTCGCGAGGTTGCTGCACGGTTCGGCGGCGGCGGAGGCGCATTCGCACGAAGCCATGAGCCCTCACTCTAAACCCCAAAACCCTAAACCCATGAGATCAGCTGTTTAGGTTGGCAGCGAGAGGAACCCCCACAAAGCAGCCTTTTGGAGCCCGAAACTGGGGTTTGTCCCGGGGTCATTTCCAACTCGATTGCGCTCACTGTCATCGTAGTGAAGTGGTTGTTTGTGGGACGGTGCGATTCCTGTTCTTGCTTTGCGGAGTCGCATCCGTCTCAATTGCCAACTTTGTTGTAGCGGGATTACCACACGTGCCGGGTACGGATCCAGGTGGAAGACGGCAGGAGCAGGCCCTTCGAGTTGCTGGGTGCTCAGAGACTGGATCATTGCAGTTATTGATCTTCAACGAGGAATTCCGAGTAATCACCTGTCATCAGCTAGTGCCGATTACGTCCCTGCCCTTTGTGCACACCGCCCGTCGCTCCTGCCTACTGAGTGATCCGGTGATTTATTCGGACTGGCACAGTGCTCGGCTTCTGGTTTAGGTGGTTTGGGGTTTAGGTTTCAGGAGGTTCCGGTTATCACAGGGTCTAGGCTTAGGAAGGGGTTTGGGTCTGGGGTTTAGGCTTCAGGGGGTTCGCGTTTTAGAGATCGGGGTTTACGCGGTTTGGCGCTTGGGATTAATTGAGTGGGGTTTCGCCCTTTGTGGCGTTAGGTTGCGGTTGTCGCCCTTTGTGGCGTTAGGTTGCGGTTGTCGCCCTTTGTGGCGTTAGGTTGGGGTCTAACGCAGAGAAGGAAGTTTGAGGCACAGGTCTGTGATGCCCTTAGTATCCTGGGCTGATGCGCTCAACGAGTTTTCAAGCTTGCCTGAAATGGCTGGGTAGTCTTGGTAAAATGCATCGTGATGGGGATACATCATTGTGATGGGGATGCATCATTGCAGTTATTGATCTTCAACGAGGAATTGCGAGTAATCACCGGTCATCCGCCAGTGCCGGTTACGTCCCTGCCGTTTGTGCACACCGCCCGTCGCTCCTACCTATTGAGTGATCCGGTGAATTATTCGAACTGACACAGTGCTCGGATAGTTTCATGGATCTGTAGTTGAACCTGCGGAAGGATCATTCGCGCTATCCAAAACTTGTTGTGAAATTGGGTTTAGGGGGTCGCCTTATGTGTTTTTGTTGCAAGGTTTCGGGTTGTGGCGTTAGGTTACGTTTCGGTTGTTGGGCTTATGTTGCTAGGTTCGGTTTGGGAAACCCGTGTCTCTGCCGAGGTCTGGATCTGTGCATGATCCAAGTCCTGAGGCGAAAATCATTTCAGGGTGTACCTGACCTTCATATTACGGTAGGGATTTATCTGATAGCAAAAGTTCCTACTGTGCTGAGTGTAGTGGGTTAAGGAGGCATGAGCATATGTTCTGGCTTCATCAACCCATGACCACGTTCATGACCTGGTGCTGTTTCCTTGGGCTCAGTGGTGGTGCAACAGTCACGTTGACGTGGTCAGAACCTTTCAAGGTAGGGTTAGTCCAGGGTCTTGGCAAATTACAGAACGCAACCGGTTGCGTTCTGTAATTTGCCACAAATTCTCTGGCTTGGGGCAACCAAAACATCAGAAGAGGAAACCGCAAACCCGGATTTGTGTGGCAAAACACAGATCGCAACCGGTTGCGTTCTGTAATTTGTCACAAATTCTCTAGCCTGGCGAAACCAAAACATCAGAAGAGGAAACCGCAAACCCGGATTTGTGTGGCAAAACACAGATCGCAACCGGTTGCGTTCTGTAATTTGTCACGAATTCTCTGGCCTGGGGCAACCAAAACATCAGAAGAGGAAACCGCAAACCCGGATTTGTGTGGCAAAACACAGATCGCAACCGGTTGCGTTCTGTATTTTGCCACAAATTCTCTGGCCTGGGGCAACCAAAACATCAGAAGAGGAAACCGCAAACCCGGATTAGTGGCAAAACACAGATCGCAACCGGTTGCGTTGTGTATTTTGACACAAGTTCTCTGGCCTGGCACAACCAACACATCGAACGAACCTACAAGCCCGGATGTCGGGTGGCAAAACATTCGGGAAGTCCACGAGAACTAGTACGTATCTTTTTGTTCACCTTGCTGCTGCCGCTGCTGGTCGCGACACGCATCCCGGGAAAGGCCCACGAGACCAGGATTTGCACAGCATGATGAATGAATGATAGAATGATTCACTTAGACGCCGCGAAGGATGTAGAATTCTCAGCAGTCCAGCAGATGGATATCCAGCTTCCCGACCAGATTGGTCCAGACACATTCCGCAGCTGTGACACTCTTCATTGGAATTTTAAGTTCTCGTGCCCACTTCGGTCGGTAACTCTCCGGGTCCTCAATCCGTGTACTCCATGCCATCGCGCAAAACACCAATGCGAGCTCAGACGAAGGATTTCTCTCCGGCAAACAGCAGCCTGCTGAATCTACTGCCAGAATCAGAGCGTGTGCAATGCTGAGCACGCTGTGTGCTGCGCAGAAGTCAAGTCTGGACACCAGCATAGAGTAGTATGCGGATTCCAAAGCGTGTTGCCAATCCTTCAAGATGCCCCTTCCTGCAGGCGATGCCGCTACCGAGGCCCCATAGCGGACGTTTGACCCCAGGCTTTGCTTGCCGTTCAAGCGAAACTTCGGCCGTCGTTTATTGCATGCACCTCTCTTGCTTGGCCGACATTTCTCGCACTTCCCGTCCCGACGGTACGTGCGCCCCGTCTTGCACAGCACACAGCGCCATTGTGGCATGTTTCGTAGAGACGAACTAAGTTGTCAGCAAGAGCCTCGACTGGCTATTCATGCTTCGTTTATGTATGAGCTTGAGAGGTAGGGTGTTGGAAGTCTGGTACTGCGCTGATTTGACGGGTACCCCCACACAAATCTGTGATGCTGTTGCTGAGGCTGGACACCAGCTGTGATCCGAGACTGCGGTCCGAAGCCCGCGTGTTGGGGTTTGGGGTTTAGGCTTTAAAATTAGTGGGTGCAGGGTTCATGTAGGGTTGGGACAGTCGGCGACGATTAGGACGTTTCTCGTCTTATACCCGCAAGTTCTGGGCTTGTGATCGGTCTTGTAGTCCAATTGTTCGGATTCAAGAAAGAGGTTTGTTACGGTTTGTTATCCTAGTATGTTACCATGTGAGCGAGTGACCCATGCTGAATCTAATCACTCTCTGGTTGTTTGACCCTTGCAGTTAGCCGTCTTCACAACCATCAATCAAATCCGCAATCCTCAGTCCGAGCGGTTACAAGAGCTCCTATGTGCTTCTCCTGTGGCAATGAGAGTTTATGAGGCCTATGTTGGATGTGTAATCAATGCAATCTGTCTGCGATGATACAGTTCTGGGCTTTGAGTTCCAAGGTTGGTCATTCAGCTGGTCTCGCGGCAGCCTCAAGCAATAACAGTGCCGCCGAGACATTTCCGATTCAGCCCACACCCTCAAGCTATGTCAGCTATGCTTGTTAGGATGGGTTGTTAGTACTGCAAACTGTAGGATACCGTAGAACCATCATTTTGAGAGGTTTTCGCAGCATGCGGAATGAGTGCGGTGGAACAATAGGGTTTGTGAGGCAAGGCAAGTGTCGTAATGGCCAAGCTGCCTACGTCTAGTCCAGCACGCTGAATTAGCATGCGTCGTGCTCTGAGGCTGCAGCTTCGCTGTTTCTGTTTGCTGATGGACGGCGAGATTTCGAAGCGTCAGGCGGATTGAGCTGAGATTGGGATATTGGTGGTTGAGAGATTCTTATCAGCCCTGACAGAGCTGTAAAGGTTACTTTCAGTTGCAGGGTACATGGCATCCGGGGGTTGCGAAACAAGGGTGGCTCTTCATGCCCTGGTGTGCGCAGTAGATGTGGTTTCGTGTGTTCGGTGGGCAGCCGATCCTTGATTGTGGTTGCCGTTGACGAATTGAATCACGTCATTATCGAACCTCCTATGACCCCTTAAATGGTATCTTTCCAGGTCTCCCCTTTCGATTCAGGGTGGATTCCGAGATTCCAGTCTGACGTTGAAACATAGTAGACGGTTGCAAAAGAGCCATAATGGTGTGACTACTCACATGAGCATTCCTCCTGCCTTAGGTGGGCAGCCTGAACGATGTGAATTGCGAAGTCATCTGTTTAGCACGAAACAGAACCGAAATTGTGCTGATCGGGAGTCTTAACACTCTCATGCGCCAGGTGATGTGAGGACCCTTGCCGCCAGCAAGTTCTGGTTTGCTGATGGTGAAAAGCCCTGCTGGAAGCCTGAGGGGACCATTGAGACCATCTCAGTTCGTGCCCACGCAAGTAACCTTCCTGATCTCGACAACTTGATTTGCTTGAACCGGGACCCTGACCGCCTGGCGTTTGTCTACGCTTGGGTGATGGCCAAAAAGACATTTCAAGATGGTGACAAATCCTATGAAAAGATTTTGAAGAGCTTTGCCACCCGTGCCCGGTCCATACGTGCCCTTCGTCTGGTCTTAAGTGTCTGAGCTACCGCACTTAAACTATTTCAATAGAAATCGCAGTCATGACATGAGGTGAAGTTCTGGCATTTGGCCGATGAAGAAGCAGCAGAGAAGAAGAAGTGGGAATTGGCCCAAGACGTGAGAGATGACTGCGAAGCCCTAGTTCTCCAAGGGTGGAGGCAAATCAAGGCAGTCGGCCTTCTGCGAGCACTCTTGAAATCTGTGGCCAAGTCTGAGGCGGCAGAGTACATGGAGAAATGGCCACCCACCTCCACCAAGTAAACCTCGTGTGTAATCTGATTTCTGTCCAGTCGTTTCAGTCCACAATCCCTAGTGACTGTGTGTTATGCCAAGGCTCGGGAGCCGGGTGAATCTGAAGGCCACGAAAATCAAGGCAATGCTAAAGATCTATGATCGCTTTCAAGATTCACCTGGGTGTGAGCAGCTTATCATCCAGCTGGACGATGCTTTCTCAAGCAACCACGCCTTCGCGCACATGATGGCATTTGACCTGGTGACAGGCAAGACTGCGCTGCCAAAGGTTCCGGCACAGCAGCGAGCACTGATGTTGTGGACGTTGGAGAACCTCGGATACAATCTGTGAGCTGTGTGATGTTCTCACACAGTACATAGCAGATCGATGTGAATGCAGCATTGCATGCAGTATTGCAGATAACTCTTGCTTGTTTTGCACATCCAGCGACCTGTGCATGTGGGTGCCAACTGCATGTGTGCGTCTGTGTGCAACCCCAGGCGTCATCTCTGTGTGTGTGCTCACATGTCGACGAGTTTAGATACTCAGGATCATCGTCGCAGACATGCTGGAGGGCAGGTGTGCTCTGAAACCAAACAAGGATGCCATGACAATGATGATCTACAGGGCTCTCTTGAAACGCCGCCTGTGCACTCTGGTGGCGAACAAGTTCAAGGGGCCCGATGGTGGGGATGTGGCCAAGTGCGAGGGGGGCATGTCGCCGGCCACAGCGTTGAGCACAGTCTTTGCCTCCGTTGCCAGCTTCCGTTCCTCGGGCCTTGCCGACCAAAGCTATGTGTCGCTGCCTTGGTTGGCAGCCTTGCCCTCCTACACCTCCGAAGCTTTGCATTTCGGTGCCAAGCTTCTGCGTGGCCATTCGGGTTTCGACGAGTTGCTCGAGACAGCCGTCACCTCCGACGCATTGATCCCTGCAGAGACCTTCCTGCTTTCGAAAACGTGGAAGGCCGACTTGTTCGATTACGCAGGCTTGCTTGAACAGAAGAAGTCCGGGGAACGCCCCCCTGTTGTGGAGGTGGCAGAGCCCGCTGCTGTGGAGGCACCCCCCGCTGAGACGGAGAACGCCGCTGAGATGATGCCAGATGTTTCAGTGGATGTGGTGGATGTGGAGCCGGCGGCTGCTCTTCCTACATCGGTCGATCGCACGGCCTGCTTCAACCGGCTGGTGGTGCCCGAGAGCATCATGACGACAATCAACGAGCATGATGACCACTACTTCAATGAGGTCAAGGATTGGGCCCGTATCCGTGTGCAGACCTTCTTGGAGTTCGAAATCAAGGAAGAGAAGGCGGCAGCTCGCCGGGCGCAGGTCACCCGCTTGTATGAGAAGCATGGCTCCAAGCCGATGTTCATCATCTATGACTGCAAAGCCAGGCTGAGGGAGATGAAGGACGACTTGCTCGGGTCTCCTTGGAAGCGGCCTGTCCCGATCGCGCAAGCAGACTTGAAGGCTTGGGTGACCTCGTTCTTCATGGATGTGAAAGCGCACTTTAACTGCACTAATGCAGATTTCAGACTTGAAAGCTCAGCAACAAACCCCTTCCAATTTGAACGTACCTGCAATATGTTTCGGGAAGCACAGCCGAGGAAGGACAAGTTGTCACCCCAGATGCGGGAGAAAGACTTGTTCGTCTTTGCCGACGGCAGGTCGCCGGCCAACTACGATGTGATCCACAAGCTGCTGCAGACCACCCTCAAGGATGTGTCCATGCTGCCAAAGCGGCGCTTCACAATCGTCAGGCGGTCATACTCGAATGATGAGTTCGGCAGCGGCGGATACGCCTCCCCGAGACGGAAATCCGGGCTGACGCCACACGCGCCGGACCCATTGGAGAATTTATTCATGGTCATGCCAAAGGAGTACGAGTTGCCGTACAGAGAGTCGGCCTGCCCCAGCGTCATCAGCAACAACTTTGTCAGGGGCTGGCAGGGGCTTAGTCTCATGACCGAGCACGAGCAGGCTTTCTCGGTCGTCACCAACCACATGTACGCGAAGCTCGCCAGGAAGCCGGAGGGCGATTCGGAGACGAAAACCGAAGAGATGGGAAGCTTGCGTGATGACGCCTCAGGTCCTGAGGATGCTCCGGCTCCGGAAAAAAAAACGGAAGACACGTTGAAGGTGTACTTGCAGCCTTGGGACAATGGGGAAGCGCATCAGCAGCTTCTGGTCGATCTTTACATGCCCTCGGGTGGCTCAGCTCATGTGGTGAGCTTGGAAGCATCCGTGAGCTTGGCAATTGCTTGCTGCCGGAAGCGTTGGCACGCAACGCTTTTTGTGGAGAGTGAGCAGCATCGCCAGCTCCTGTCGCAGATCCTCGTCTTGAAGATCATGTACGAGATCATGTCAGGAAGGGCGGATGGATTTGTCATGAGGCAGCGCATTTTGACAAGGCAAGCATCCCTCAGCGGCAGCGATTCCGGCCGCCCACCTTTGCCGCCGCCAACCCCGGCGCCTTCTTCGGCAACCGCTGGCAGCATGGGGAACAGTCCAGCTGACAAGAGTGTTCTTGAGGAGCTCTATGGCGATGACGTCGAGGAGTACGACGAAGAAGGGGCCGAGCAGGAGGAAATCGGTGGGTAGAACTTGTAGCAGGAAGCAGGGCGGTTTTGTCAAGAGCCCTCCGGATCTTTTGCAAGTGCCATGTACTTGTCAGTGGCACCTTGCTGCCCCTTCAAGCCGGCCCAGTGGGTACTGAAACACTGAATGAATAAGTGCTGCGATGAATGTATCTCTGGAAAACAACCTAATCTCCAAGCTCCACAGACAGGCCGGCTGGGGTTTTTAATTGCGATTCTCCTGAACAGCACCCACAGCGACAGCAGGTGGCACAGAAGCTTTGACTAACTGCTGGTTGGAGTTCCAAGGGAGTGTGAAAAGCCAGGACTGCATTGCTGACTCGACAGTATTTAAGCATAGTGTTTTGCATTGACAGATGTGCGTTCATGCATGTTTTGGTTCCCAGTCTCTTTCTCACCTGTCTGTCTCTGTCTCAGTAGCACATCCAGACTCTCTCACTCACTCTCACTCACTCACTCACTCATCCGATCGCGCGCTCTCTCTCTCTCTCTCTCTCTCTCTCTCTCTCTCTCTCTCTCTCTCTCTCTCTCTCTCTCTCTCTCTCTCTCTCTCTCTCTCTCTCTCTCTCTCTCTCTCTCTCTCTCTCTCTGTCTCTCTGCCGCCCAAGGCCTGGAACTGCAAAGCGTCGGTCCGTGCTGTCGTCCAGGTTGTAAAACCTTGGGGCTGTCAGTTCTGATGTTTGAAACTGATGACAGCCAGGCCATCTGTGCAAGAGCGGATCCACGGCCGCCGACAGCTGCAGGCCACAGGATCGTTTGAATACTGTGACAGCATGTGCATGTCAACCGTCAAGCTGAGAATGACACGCGCATGTAGTGCAGTGTCTGATGAGGGATGAATCCTCAGGGAGTGTCCAGTCTGGAACTACATGGTAAAGGGTCATCTCCAGCACGACCAGTGTTTGCTAGACGCTTAAAATGCGACTATGCCCGAAATTAGTTCAGAAACCCCGAATTGAATGGGGTACAGGCCTTCAACGTATTACAGTTTAAACTAAACATGAAATCAAGGCAATACTAACACCAAGTTTGACATATCCGATAACTGGCGATTGCTTTCAGACGTGATCATGTGTTTGACACTGGCTACTTACTTTGAACTTGGACACTCTCCAAGCTGTGGTGTGGAAGTGTCGAAAATGCTTAGTGTTCTCGTGCGGTTGAATATTGCTAACCCCTATGTTTCTTAAAAGAAAGGTACCATCGCAGCCCGCTCGTGATTCCCCACCCTCCCTGCAGATGGCTTCACGCCCTGGTGTTACAAGTCTTCAAGTTCCACATGATTGGCGGGGAGCCCAGATCTTGGTTCACACGAGAGTCTTTCCGTGTTAGGGCTACGTGAGCAATTGGTGCTGTGTAATGCTGGCCTGAAAACTAACAGACTTTGGTCCAGACATGCGACCTGTTGCCGCTGCCAGTTCTTTTAAAAGGGCGCTTGTGAGTTTTGCCTTCCAGTTCATTCATGGCAAAGTCGGCTGCTCCGACTAAGAAAAAGAGTGGAACGGTCAAGAAGCGGCCAGCCGCCTCCGGGAAATCGATGAATCCGATCCCCAGCATGGCCAAGATCAAACTTGCAAGGGTGTTTACTCTGTTCGATCAACGGCAGTTCATGCGCGAGCTGGCCAGCAAGCTTCAGGTGGCACCCATGGCAGGCTGCCAAGTTCAATGGGCGAGCATGTACGATGGGAGCAACATGCCTGGGGAGGTCATGCAGTGTATGAAGCAAGTGCTAGGTGTGCAGCCAATTCAGTTGTTCGGCGGCCAGCCAGCATTATTAGTGCGTGCTGCACAAAGTAGTATGTTTCGACACTCTTTGGTCCCAAGTTCATAGCCCAGGTGCCGAGATTGTGCGGTACAAGGCGTACTACAACATGCGCAATTTTCGCATGGGTCACTTGTTCGAGGACCTCCGAAGCCTTGATGTGCACCGATAATAATACGGTAAGACGGCGACAGTGGCTCTGCCAGGACGGCAGTGCCTTGAAAGACAAAAAGGCATTCTGTTGGATGCATGGGGCCTCATGCAACGTTCCACGCTGCGACTCTGTCGCATTCTTTATCGGCGGCTTCATGTGCAAGTCGAATTCGATGATGAATCTTCGGGAGCATTAAAACATTGCAATGTCCCGTGTGATCAGTGTCTCGATCATGCCTGGGTCACTTGAGGAACAGTGCCCGTTTCCGGGCAGATCCACTTGGCCAGGCTGCTGCCTCTCGGCTCACGTTCGATGCCCTGGTGGAGGTGCTGAAGGCCCAGACCCCTGCGCATTTCGTGCTGGAGAACGTCAAAGGCTCGATGTCATGGCCTTATTGGGTAGATGTGGGTGCAAAACTTGGAAATTCATTGCTTTAGGTGTGGGCATCGTGCCGATGGATGGTGTGTGCTTAGGGAGCTACTTGCTCAGGATGAAGCGATGCAAGGCTGCAGATCCACCGTCGGAAGCATCTCCCATGGACAAGTATGACACCCCTTTGGAGTACTACCTGGATACCCTGAAGCAGCTGGAGTACAGCATCGCTGTCGTGGAACTCAAAACCTGTGCTCCTCTTCCAGAGGTGAGAGAACGAGTCTGGATTCTGGGGTCCAGGACCTCCTACACTGCGGAGCAATGGCGCTCGGATGTCTTGTTGACGGAGCCGGCTGATGATACTCCATGTCACCACTTGAAGGCCTACTTCGATGCTTTCGGAAAGAGCTCTGATGCCATGAGGGATGACAGCGCCACACAGTGGGGCAATGACGCGAAGTATGCTACGGCATACGCCAACGCCATGGAAGAGATGGTGAGTGCAGGGAGGTTGGATTCGTCCAGCAACATCTCGGACGTCAAGGCTCGCCCTTCGAGTGGGGCTGCCTGGCAAGGCCTCACTGAGTGGGGAAAGGCCAGTGTTGATGTGTACAGTGCTTTGGCAAAGGCGCAGGAGGCCACGATGTCGGAGGGAACGGGGCCTTCCAACTTCTACCCCGTGTTTGACCTCTCGCAAGCTTGTTCTCGGAACAAGCTGACCGTGGATGGAACTTGGACTACAGTATGCACAAGCACTGTTTTGACTTCCTTGAATGATGCCAAAATCATGAGTGGTCAGGGTGTTCTGGCGATTTTGGGCCAGAACCCCTCAAACAAAGTGTGCCATTTCTTGAGCGATAAAGAGCTCACTGATCTAGGAGGAAATGCTATGTCGTTTACCCAGCTTTCCAGGGTATTGATGCCGTGTGTGAAGGCCTTTGTGAACGCCAAAGGAGCTGCAGCAAGCTGAGAATTGATATCTATGTCCCGTGCTTGTTTTAGGGTCTCGCGAAGTCTTTCAAGTTGCTGATCCTAAGACGGCACGTTAGGCGAACGGGTTAAAGCTGCTTGCTCTTTCCACAGTCAGACCGGGGCTACATGGTGGATTTCTTGAGAGATTATTTAGTTGCGTAAGGGATATACTATTTGAAACAGAGTATGAAATTGCTCTTAAGTGAAGTTGGGTACTGCGTGGCCGGAGCTTGCACATTAGATTCCACGGTTCCCGGGATTTTGACTGGCTGTCGGGAAATGGTATGTGGCAAGGGTTCACCGGCCTGTGTTTAGAAGCACCTCGGCTGACGTGGGCCGGCTTTGAAAAGTCAAACTTGCTTCCGAGCCAGACCTCGCATGTGAGCTTTGACAATTGATGTACTGCAGTGTGCAAGCATTGCTTTGAGGCAGATTCATCAGTTTTGGAGCCTGGCGCGCAGGCCTGGTGTGCGATGCGACGGCATTAAAGAGCTGTTGAAGCATGCTGCACAGGAAACCACATTGTTCAGGGAAGCTGTGTTAGCTCGAGAGAGCCCCCGGACCCTTTCATCATGGAAGCCTCGTCTGCCTCTGATTTGAAAAAGTTGCTCCCAGAGAAGACGCGGATCCTGTGGTATGGCAAGGGCCTGAATCCCATGTTGGGGTTCATGCCAGAAGCTGCAGTGCTTTTGGCACCGACACTATCGGATGCTTCCATGCTCGCCCGCATCCGGACTGCTTCCAGATGGCCAAGGCCAAGGTGTTTGACTGCGGAGTCTACAAGCCCATGTCATGTCAGCTTTGACGACGGTGTTGCAGATGTGTTCCTGGGCAGTGTCACCAAGATCGAGGCCGCTTCAGTCCTGTCAGTCGCACTGGACATGTCCACAGTTTCCATTGTTGTGCTCGCGGTCAATGGGAACTACTCGGATCCCGCTGATTGGAAGGATCCAGCGGGATGGGTTACCATGCGCAAGGAAGTCAGTTGGTCCACGTGGACCGCTCTCGAAGCTCACAGTCAGCTGTGGTTGTGCGTCCGTGGAGAAAGTGCAGCACAGACCCGAATCGTTCAGGATATCGACAGCATCTTCCAGAAGGTGTCCGCGGATGTGAAGCCTGCAACACCAATTATACGGGGAGTTGATCGCTATGTTGTTCAGAGGGGCAAGCGGCAACGGACGACTTACAATCTTCCTGCGCCTTGTACAGCAGAGAAGGTGTTCCGATCACCAGCAGGTTCAGCTGCAGATCCCACAGACTTTTCGCCGCACGAGTTCTTGCCTTTACTTGGCTACGGGTGTGAAACCAACATACATTTGTTGACGCCGGCCTGGCAGATGAAAGTCTTGTCTCACAGTGTTCCTTTCAGTGTTGGCGAGCTGATGTATCGCTTTGCAATGCGGTTTGCCTCATCAGCGTCCTCATCGAAATGATCACATGTATACGCGGTCTCTGAGCTGCGGCAAGAGGAATGGATGACTCCTCCTTACAGCGAGGGAGCAACTACTTGTAAAACTCAGAGAGCAAGCCAGCAGTTCAGATTTTGAGGCCACGACAAGCCAGACACTTCAGCTGCCTGACCTGCTCTGAAACAAATTGCAGTTTGTGGCCATGCAGGCTTGCCGACCCATGCGAATGTTTGGAAAGTGTTGCTGTGACTGATACTCTAGACTCTCGCCGCCTAAACTAATATCTCGTAAAGTCTGGAAGCAACATGCCATTATTGTCCTGCGTCTCTCACAAG